CTTCCTAGAGCAGAGCTCAGCTGGTAAGCGCAGGAGGCGAGGTTTCCGTTGCTTCGCACCTTTTTCGGGCGTGCGCGGCTTCCGCGTTACCAGCAACTGGTCCCGTCTCCCATGCAAGCGCCGCCAGCATTTTTCCTCCCACCGGGGTGAGAGTCCCCATTTATCTACTCACATTAAGTTTTTGAGCTGCTGGGTTGACAGGAGCGGGGGAGGAAGCAGGAGCTCGAACTGCTGAAGTGTCGACCATTTCTGGCCGGCAACTTTCAGCGTCATTAAGCCACTGCACCACCGCGTCCCCTTATAATGGGCATATTGGTGGCTATTTATTTCATACATGGAAGTATGAAATCTGGAGAATTACAAGTGCCAATATTCCTCTAGTGTATTATCCATTATGTGACTGAAGATAAGTTCATCATATATTGCAATGAACACGTAAGCCAACATATGCATATCCACAGTTAACATCAGTTTACAAGCAACAATATGAAAAAAAAACCAACCCTAAAATAAACTGGTATATTAATATAAAGATAAAAATAGTAAGAAGCAAGTATATAAGTGACATAAATTTAAATAGCAAATTTAAATATCTGAAAAATGAATGTGCAATTTTGATGTATACAGCAAGATGTAGAGAAGACAGACTAATGCCTTACCCTTTGTGACAAATCTTGTTGCAGATGTGGAGGGCATTTCAGAATTTCTGGTGCTTCCAATGGGACTTAAATTTGCTGCTTCTTTGCCAATTGCCTCATAACCTCCTTCTGGACTACAGGGGTCCTCTTCTTGCTTTATTTTAAACTTTTTTTCCCTGTCAGGTGATTTTAAATGTTTTCTAGGTGTTTGAATATTTTCCTTGACTGGAAAGATATCTGCAAATCGCTTTTTCTGTTCTAAAGCTAATCCATCTGGGGAACTCAAAATGTGGCCTTGGAGAAGAGCTTTTTTGGGAAACAGAGATGGAGAAGAAATTGGTGGAGAGTCCAAAACTGCCTGGAACAGCCGCTGTCTAGGAACAAAATATAGAACTAGATCAATATACAAAACTATTATGCCTCTTCTTTCTCAGCATTCTTTTCAACATCCTCTGAAAGGGAACAATAACTAGAATCCAAGCATAATGCCTTCTGGCTGAAGTCCTGCTGAAGATTACATGAAAGGATGATAATTAATATAAGCATCCACAATCTACTGAATACTTATCCATTTAACTGAAACTAGCATTGGGAGCTGGGATACAAAACCATCAAACTGCCTACAATTTATTTATATAAAGAGAAGGAAAACTCAGCAGTTATCCAAGAATCTGTAACACTTCTAGAAAAGAGAACTTCTGCTCTAAATTCAGATCACTACAGACTATCTCTTAGTCATTGAAGCTACCATAAGTGAGGGGGAAAGAGGGAAAGAGTTGAGCTCCATAGCAATTTTTCACAATCGACAATTTTAATTAATATTCTGACACTAGCAAAGTATACATTTAATTCCAGAACACATTTTATTATTCCAGAGTACACTTCTTTATTTTCTTCTACAGACAGTAACTCAACTTCTGCCCTCCTTTCTAATGCATCTCCCCAAAATATATTTGAAACGATAAATACTGATCAGTTAACTTGGTATATTTTCAAAAGATTTAATTAACACAGCACATCATTTATTGGTGGAATATCTACAACGTTGTTTCTGCTATGCATTTTTCCTGTGCATTTCCCAGTACATATAATTAATCACAATCCTCTAATTATGGTAGTTCTCTAAGCTCAAGAAATAATTACAATAATATAAAAACAATCAATTTTGTTTAAGGGTGACAGAGAAAGTTTGTATCTAGGTTTTTTGTGTGCTTTATGAACAGATACAAAAGAAGCTGCAGTATACACAAAGGCAGAGAAACACATAACCTTTAGAGGAGAATCTGCATATATTTTAGGATCAACATAGTCTCTGGCCTATGTACTTAACAATTAAAGAATAAAAAAGTCACTAGTATCTCTCATTAAAAAATTGGGTCAGAAAATTCCTCCTAGGATGGCATGCTACGTGCTAAACGACAGGCACTCCTAAAGAATGCTGCAATTAATATTATCCAAGGTTGATTATAAATGCAAATGATGACACCACAATACAAATTAAGGAAATTTTGACTTAAAATGAAAGCAACGTTAAAAATAATTGAAATTCTACATAATTTCCCCTCCTCCAAACAGATCTAAAATCTTTTATGAAGCCATTATCAATGCTCAATTCAGACATAATGCAATAATTCATATCAAAATGCTCAACCCAAGTATTAATGGCATATAAAAGTACAAAAACTATTACTGAACATTAAAAGTTAACAAAGTTACAATAAGCTAACTGGTGACATCTAGTGGACGCATATTAAGTGCAATTAATTATGCCTCATATTAAACCCCAAAGGTAAAAAAGTAAAAGTCATAGAAATAATTAAGAAGAATGCAACATTTGAAATATTCAGTTGGATAAGTTAAATGCAAAACAAAAATAATACAGATCTTTCACAATTACCAGAGCAGATGTTAAAATCTTCAGAGATACAAAGAAAGCATTCCTACCTTTCATCTTTTCCTCCTAAAGAGGAGGCAGAAAAGACATCTTAAACCCATAAGGTTATGGATCCATAAATATATAACCAATGAAGATGTTCTATTTAGCCAAAATATAATTTTCACTCATGAAAATATACTGCAACCTTCAGAAAAGCCAATTACGAACTTAATTCACTTTTAAAAACAAAAACAAAACCCTTAAGCACCAATGGCTCAATTCCACACAGACCAGATATGGTCAGTTCTGGTCAGAAGAGAAAAAGCTGTGCTTCTTTCACTGAATTACTTTACTAGAAAAGTTAGGGTTAGTTATTTAATGTCTACATGAAACCAGTAGGTGAGGTCATTTGACAGCATGGGTCCAGTATAATCAATATGCTGATGATACCCAGTTGTACATCTCAGAACCTGACCAACCAATTGATAATATTAAGGTTCTATTGCAGTATCTGGAGGTTGTTGGGGTCTCCATGGAGAAGAACAGATTGAGGCTCAACTCTAGCAAGACTGAGTGGCTATGGATATATGGATGAATTGATTCCAGGGATCTTCCAACTGTAGTAATGGGTAGGGGAACACTCCCCCAGACAGACTTAGTACATAATTTGGGGGTCCTCCTAGACTTCCAGCTGCTGCTTGAAGAACATGTAGCAAGCAGCCATTGCATAGATTTGTCTTGTGTGCCAACTGTGTCAATTCCTGCATGAGAAGGCCTTTTTCATAGTCACTCATGCCTTAGTCACCTCATATCTGTATTACTGCAATGTGCTTTACATGGGACTGCCCTTGAAGACCATGTGGAAGTTACAACTGATCCAAAATGTAGTAGCGTGAGTGGTTATGTATACACCTCAGTCTGCCCACGTAACACTGCTATTTCATGAGCTGCCTAGATCAGTTTCTGGGTCAGCTTCCAGGTCCAAATCAAGGTGCTGGTGGTCATCTATAAAGCCCTTCATGGCACAGGACTGAGATATTTGTGAGACCACCTTTCACCAATTGCATCTGCCAATCTTGTAAGATCAGACAGGGTCAGCATGCTATCTCATGGAATCCAAGAAGTGAGCCTTCTCTTTTGCTGCACCTGTCATTTGGATTAGTATCTCCTCAGAGATCCATACAGCCCAACCCTGATGACTTCTAGAAAGGTACTAAAGACCTGGCTTCTTCCGGAAGGTTTTGGATTAGGATGGGATGTGGCCCAGACAATAATTGGGTATGTTTGTTGATTGATTTTCCTTTTCAGCATAGTTGCCTTTTTAATGTAATGAATGGTTTTTATCGCTTTTAACCCTGTTAGACACCCAGAGTTTTTTGGCAAGTAGATGACCTTAGAAATCTCCTAAAAAAAATAATTACAGTTTATAATAACGCAAAGTCTACCCAGCAAACATGATTAAGGTGGAAAACAAATCTCTCTCAACCTGCTAGATGGATCAATGGGAATGTGAAATTATAAAAGACTCCAAAAGACACAAGCACATAATATCTTCCTGTCTGTTTCACATGTACATCCATGTTTTAATACATTATTATATCATGGTACCCTATTCAGAATACAAAGATTGGAACAATCCAGAAACTAGCATTTTTTCTAAACTGTACTATTTATGCTTGAAGTTAGCCAAGAACACTCTATTGGACAGCTATTGATTTGGTTCTATGTTGGGAAATTGACTTCTCCAAGTCAAAAATGTACAGATTATCTGACCTCTCCGATACATAAGATTTATATATATATCCATTAAAAAAACCAAAAATGGTGAAAGATTATAATCCAATATCAAATTGGATAAGAGCAGCACTCCTTGACCTTAGCAATATTAGATAAAATTTTAGGCAATAAAATAAAAGTCCCAATAAATCATTTGTCACTCAGACAATGTAGGAACAAAGTACCAACTAAAATATTAATGTTGTGGGATTTAAAACGTTATTTTCCAAATTATCATTGATTCTCAAATAGAAGCACTGGGAGTTAAACACGATTTTGTCACATTAAAACCAAGCTTCCTATACCTTCTAAATATAAGCACAATTAAACAGAAATATATAAAACGTAGTTCAGAAGAATGAGAAGAAAAACTAATGGATAAATGCAGTAATATAATGCCTTTAGAATGTTAACCATTTATAACCACATTAATTATGAAATATGGTGAATGTATTAATGCCAAGTCAGTACATGCATATCTGTCTATCCATCTATAATTTATATACTATTGAATCCTCCAGCAACTCCAGATGGTTTACAAAACTTCTTGGTAAATATTAGAAATTTAAGTTATAAACATACTTCTAATGATCTTGCCAGAGCCATCATTGCTGCTCCAACAAAAAATATAACATAATAATATTGACAAATAGCTACCTAATGCCCCTCAATTCTTCCATCTTCCAGAATGCTATTAAAGAAGGAACAAGTTCCATCTCTGAGTGGAGGCCATTCCAAAGCACCAAGGATATACAGTAAGAAAAAAAAAACACCTCTTGGCCAATGCATCCCTCACTACGCAAGTGGGGAAAACTAAGATATTCTCCAAGACAATTATACAGGATGGTTCAACTTGTATTGGAGGAAGCAATTCTGTGAGTACTTAGGCACTAAATCCTGAAGGGCTTTACAGGACCACCAGCAGTTTGAACTACGTACAAAAAGCTATCAATAGCCAGTGCAGGGACTACAGCACAGGTATCATGCATTTGTGGTTGTTAATACCTGTTATGGTTTTTGATTCTAAGAGCCTGGTGGAATCTCAGCCACCTGAGAGTGATGAGTTAGACTGAACATAGGTGGCTGCTGATTTGGGCAGCAAAAAGTCCAAGGGTGACCCTTGGGAAAATGCCAAATCCTAAATCACACCCTCAGTTAAATAGAGCTCAGCAGCAGAGATTGGCATGATGTCTTGAGAAGAGAGGACATCAAATATCCCAGTTAGGCCAAGGCAGGAGCTATGGCTATGTAAAAGTGTTCCCCAGATTCCCTCCCCTCTCCTGCTTCCTGATCAATGCTCCTGATTTTTTTTTTTTTAATGAATAAACATCAACAGTTTTACTTAGGTGTTTAATTGGGGACTGGTCAATCATACACATTCTGGAATGTGCACATTATACATTGTTCTGAAAGTATCCTTTGTACATAGGTAATCTCAGTGAGATACATTTCAGCATCACACACAAACCCAACAACCACAAATTCCAGTTCATCAGGACAGCCCTTTAATATAACTTTTAAAAGGCAAAAAATCCCAGGGGGTTCAACAGATTTAAAATAGCATACAAGATCTGTTTGGTAATAAGTTGCTGCATAATCATAAATAGATGGCTCATTAGCACACTCTATTCATCCAGGAACACAGACCTCCCTATGAAAACTGATTATTCTTCACCTTCAGATGATTCAAAATCAGAACTGACCAGGAAATAATGCAGCTCA